CCGCCGCCATCTTGGAAACGGGCACGCCGCGGACGGCGACGCGACTGACATTGCAGAGTACGCGGCGCGGCCCCTCGGCGCGGCCACTCTCGTCCTCCCAGCGCCGCTGGGACCTCCTTCTCTCGCGAGAGGCGCGTGGCGCGGAGCCGGCTGCTGCGGAGAAGCCGGGAGCGAGCCCTGGGCGGCAGGTGAGCTCTGTGCTGGTGGTCCGAGAGCCTGCCCTTCCCTGACGGCCCCCTCCTGGCCTACTCTTGTTCCCTAGATCCTCTCATTTCCCGTTCCTAGCCCCGTCCTTCGGAAGAGATGTGGCCATGCCAGCTCCCTGAGGATCACGGCGGGCTTTCACCCGAGGGAAGCCGGTATGAGGGTCCGGATGGGCCCTGCCTGCCCTGGGCTCCTGGCGTGGTGGCTTCTGCCCTTTCCGGGCGCTCTCATCTCCCTCTCTACCGGTTCTGGCTTGGGTCCCGGGGGACAGTGCGCTGAGGAGTAAGAGCACTGAGCTGGTGCCGGGAGACCCGCTTCTGCCAGTAACCAGCTGTTGTGACCTTGGGTTTCAGTCCCTCTTCGCAAACATTGAAGAAACTGAAGTTTCCGTCTTTGGGGGTACCTGGACCCCCAGGTTGTAATTTTGAACCTATGACTTCCCTGAACCTCCAAGGTGTTGAGTTGGTATAATTGAGTTTTCCTAAACTTGCCAGATCGGAAGTACCATCAGGATGCTTGTTAATAAATCGAATACCGAGTTCTTTCCCCTGGAGAGTCAATTCAGTATAACCGGATATAGTCCTGGAATCATATTTTGGACAAACGTCCGTAGGTGATTTGGACCATCCGCAAGTTTGGGACAGGCTGGTGGCCTTTATGCTGACATTGAGTGCCAAGCTCTCTGCGTAACTCACAGAGGTCACGGACTAGTCTCTGAACAGATATGTAAATACAGAGCACTTCACAAAAATTGGAAGAAGTTAATGGTTTGGGGATTACGGATAACCAACAACAGGAGCTAAGCATGCCATTCTGTAAATTTCGTGCAGTTAGACGGTTGTCTTTGTATCTTTGCACACTCATCAACCCTAGTCTTTTCAGAACTTCTTGTTATCCCCTGAATGGGTGTAAGGGAAGCCCCCCTAAGCCAGAGCTACTTCCCCAGTGTTAAAATTTCAGATCCATATTTCTAGATTCAGTAAAATACTATTGATCTCTCTATGCGGTTTTGTTTTCTGAATTCTGTCCACCTATCTTCAAATGAATCTTTCCTGTGGAAATTCTAGTACTTAGATATCCTTTCTGAAACCCTTAACTTTGACACCTAATTGCCTGGAGACAGTCCTCCATTTCTTTTCCTTTGAGCTTCCTGTTTCTTTGCTGATTATCACCTTTTTCCCTCTGTATGTGAGCTTCAGTCAGTTCATTTTAGTTAAAAATTGCCCTTTCTGTTAACGGTCAATATTATCAAAATTTTTTATGGATTTGACTTAAAAGAATTTGGTCCTTGGTTTGAACCGATAGCTAAACTTTAGTCTTATTTTTTTCTTTGGGTCCCCTTCATCCTTAAAAGGAGCTAAGTGCCTCAAAATTTGATGTTTACTGGGTGCCTTAAAAATAAACAAGTGTATTTTCAGATGTTATTCTCAGGCATCTGCTTTCACTGCCTGCCAATAACATTTTAGAAGGGCCACAGGCATGTGCGTGCTACAGTCAGAGTTGGAGAGGTGCTTAACAAACAAGTCCAGTGGCGTGACAATGATGTCTACTCCTCCTCTTTTTACTTAATGAAA